TTGTGGATTGTCTTCCGAAGGAAACCCTAACCGCACCCGTTGGCCGCCCATTAATGACATCCTTCCTGTCTCTACACTCCTTTCCCTCCTGAAAATGTTAAAATCTTTTTTTTCTCAAAAATGAGCTGAGTTCTTCAGTAAATGGAAATACTTCATAGTATTGCCGAAGTTGATCGTTTGTTATCTTCAGATAGACCTGGCATGCTCCAGAATTGCAGAAACATCCAACTCTTAGATCAATTCCGAATAACTCCGCCATTTTTTCCACCCAAAAAAGAGCTAATAGTTAATTCCACGAGCAAATCTCTTCACACTAATTTCTAAAGCAGATGAGGAGAAAAAATAGGCACCTCGGAATAGCCAATATAGCTTCCATCATCTCTCAATAAATTGAATGATATGATTGGCCCCTGTTGTGCGGCATCTTGCCATCCATAGATTTTTACAGCTGACTTCCCATTCCAATGAACTTTTTGCTTTAGCATTTTATGAGCTGCAGCTGCCACTCGCATCGTGTTTCTTTGGATTGCTTGGATGCCTCCTGTTGCAAAATATTGTTTTAAACCGTTAGATGAAAAGTTTTATGAGTATCGCACTCAAATTTAAATAATACTTTTCGAAGGAGGTGTTAGAACAATAAGAGATGGGAACACTCCTTCAGGTAAGTGCGATGACTGTGCAGTTAATGGCGTAAAACTTGGTTACCGTATCGCTTTAGGTCTTTGAATCCTTTGGTAAGAGCGCAAATGGCGTAATAGTTTAGAGTGCCATATTCGAATCTAAAGTCCAAAGAATAACTAAGCTTTTAAATAGCAATCAGGCACGAATACGTTGTTATAAATTTACATGTTGCCTTACGTTTTCTCTTTTTACTTTTTATTCGTGAAAAGTCTTTTCAATATATGAACCTTCCTTCAATCTTCTTCCTCGTAACCGAATGAAGTTCGTCGACTAAAATTTGACTGACTGTCCCTCCAGCGAAAGCTCGAGGTTTCAAGCGCTCAACAGCATCTGAAACCTATATCTCATATGTGATACCATATACTGAACGATGTAAAAGTAACTTTTCGTATGAGAAGTGCACCAACTCCGGTTGGATATCCAAACATCTTGTAAAACGAAAGAGCCACGAAATGTGGCCGATATTCGGCGAGAGAAAGGGATGATGTGGACACGAAGGAAGCTGCGTCCAAACAGACCGACCAGCCTAAAGTAGATCTTGAAAACAGTTCTGTAATAAGCTTTACAAAATAATGTTAATAATCATACCGTTCTGTTGGAGGCTTTCGATAATGCTGAAGTCATACTTCCTTCCGCAAAAATTGCTCATGGCAGTCATGGCAAAAAGGCTGCATATTCTTGGTTTTATATTACCGTTTCCCATGCTACCAAGGGCCAAAATGTGGTCAACCTTAATTCTCACATCTACTAAGGGTATGCTTGATCTGTAGGATTTACGCTCTTGTAACGAGGTCCAGTCAG